CTGCCACACATAGATAAATAAATAAAAAGGCCTTATATGATGTTGAGCAAACATTATTGTTATTTCAATATCCAGAATTTTAATAAAAATTTGTAATTTTGGTTTTTGCTCACAGTTTTACATTTGATTTTTTTTATTTAAATCATTTATCTCTGGTATTTTTTCATCATCGTTCCAAAATAACACTTCTAAATACCATTCCACCTCCAGAAACAGTTATTATTTGTGAACCTGGCATCAATCGGAGCGCCAGACCAACGTAATGAAAGCCTCATTAAAAAAAAGTCAACGTCAAGATTTACAAAATGTTACTTAAACGATTTTTGTCCATCCATATTTCCAAATTTTTATAAATTTTGTCCATCTAGATTTACAATAATTTACAATTTACATAATTTTCTTAAATATTATGTAATTCGTTAAAAAAATTTGTACAGTAAGATTTGACATTAAAAAGATTGAAACCCTAAAAAAATTAAATTCAGAAGATCAGACTAGATTTGTAATTAGTCAAACGAATTTGATCCGTCAAAATTTGCATTTCGAAAAATGATTTTTGTCAAGCTAGATATACAATTCATCTACCTAGATTGGTATTGGTTAAATAATTTTTGTCCATCAAATCTGCAAAGGGATGAAAAAGAATTTTCGTTCATTTATATGTGCAAAGTGATTCTTAAACAATTTTTGTCCTCATCTATATTTGTAAAGTTTTAATAAGGTTGAGAATCTAGATTTACAAAGTTATAAATAATTTTCACCCATTAGGATTTAAAAAGTAATAAAAGTCAACTAACATTTTCTTTTCAGAGAAGGCTTTTATTAATGGTAATTAGAGAAAGTCGAAAATTAAATTTCTTTGGCTGTTTAGATTTTCAAAGTGGTACTTAAACAATTTTTGTTTATCTAGATTTACAAATTATTACTAAAACAAACAACTGTCCACCTAGATTTGCAAACTTTTTCATAATTTTCGTCAATCCAGATTTGCAAATTTTTTATAATTTGTCTTTCTATAATTGCATAATGGTAAATAATTTTGGTCCATCCAAATTTGCAAAGTCTTTATAATTTTGTCTATCTATATTTGCATATAATAAATAATTTTCGTAGATCTAGATTTGCAACGGGATAAAAATACACTATTTCTTTCCATGACGGACTTTATCAAATTCACTTTTTGGTATTTATAGAAAGTCGAAAATTCAAAATGTTGGTCCATCTAGATTTGAAATTTATTAAACAATTTTTGTTCATTTAAATATGCCAAATTATTACTTAAACAATTTTTGTCCATCTAGATTTGCAAAGTGATAACAAGTCAACTAACATTTTCTTTTCAGTGACGATCTTTATCAAATTAACTTTTTGGAATTTATAGAGATTCGAAAATTCAAAATTGTGGCCATCTAGATTTGAAATGTATTAAACAATTTTTGTCCATGTAGATTTAAAAAGTTTAAAATAATTTTCATCTATCTAGATTTACATAGTGATACTCACAGTGGCGACTCGTGGGCACTAGCGGCAGTGGGACACACACTGGAAAGGAATCCCGGGATTCGTTTTTCCATTAGGAAAACAAGTTCTCCGCTTAATGAAAATAAAAAATATATTTCAAAACATATTAAATATTACAAAATTGAAGACTAACTGCTAGGTACCGCTACAGTTGTATACTATTTCTTATAGTTGAAGTCCATTTTTCTGGATTTTTGGCTAGCGAAGTGATCGATGACTAGATTATTAAAATTTGGAATGGACCGAAAAAGTTTTTTTCGATGGATAACATGGCTAACGCGCACAATCTATCTTGGCACATATAGTGTTCCTTAAAAATGTTTTAATACGTTTTAGTGTCGAAAAACATATTTCACTCTCCATTGTGGTCATGGGAATTGTACACAGGATAGTTAGTGGCTCCACAGGTTCCGAAAATGTAATTGTCAAATTGTTCTCAAAAAACATTTGTAATAACGGTACGGTCCCATTGTGTTGCACAAAGTCATCTCGGGTGTAAAGTATGGACAGTTCGTTTTTGAATTTTAAGCTGTTTACGTTTGGAAATAAACTACACACAGTTTTAACGTCCTCATTTGGAAAACAACCTCGGTAGTCTTTAAATTTTTCACTATCAAATAAACTTGCAATTGTTAGGTGGGTAGTAAACTAAAACGTTCATTTACCCGCACTACTATTGTATCACAAATTTCCATACACATCCTTAAATTAGGAATGGGGTCCTCCTTTTCAACAAACCGTCTCTTCTTGCTTGTACTTGGACCTGATTGGGTGTTGTCGTTTAAGTTTAGTTCTTGTGGGTCCTGTTGTGATTGCCATTCTTCATGAATTAGCGTGTCTATATTATTTCTAATATTTTGAATAGCTGCTGCAAAATTTTATATGTTTATCTTAACCTTGAGAGCATCGAGCTGTCTACTCTGCAGTTGATCAAAAAGTATATCGCAATTTGGCATTATTTTGCTGAAGAAAAATAACCAGAAACTAAAATCTGCCTTTCAAAATTTATCAACCCTTTAGTCTGATTAATAGTTTTTTTTATCGAATTCTGAGTTCATAATTTCTTCGAGACATTTAATCAAATCCTCTTTATAAACATAAATAGTATTGACACATTTCGATGTAAAATTCCATTGTGTAGGAGCATTTTAAAGCATACGACTCTGAAAAAAAGGTGTTTGGCAATTTAAAATCTCCAAGCGAAAAATTTCCCTTTTATATTTTTGAATTAAAAAAAATATTTATATCTCTATTTGATAGTTTGTCAACTAAGCCTGGAATTTTCAACGCATACCTTTTTGAGATGAGCGAAAATAGAATTTGGTCATCCTTGCTAACAATTTGCGAAAATGTACACCATTAAATTATTTATAAGACTCAGCATTTTTTATACTCTTAAATATGCAAACAGAGATATGAAATCCTCGAAAAAGTCAGACAAAACCAGAAGAAAAATTAAAATTTTGTCCCATTTATAAATATTATTAATTTTTTTTCATCTTATTTTTGACTGCTTTATAAAAAAAAGTTATTTTTCTTTGTAGTTTTATTTCTTAACTATTCCAATGGTGCAACTAACGTTTTTTCGTAATCACAATAAATAAATTATTATCATGGTCCAACAAACGCGCACCTTAAGCTGAAACCGGCATCGCCTTTGTGAGGGAGCCGGTAAAGATGCCGCTGCGTACATTCGTATCTGGTCTAGGTAATCTGTGCCATGGGTACAGCACGTCACGATGAGGACAGCGCCCCGCTAGTGCCGTATAATCCATCGCTTGTGGTTATCTCTTGCTAAGCGATATTGTCGTTGTCCTTGTTTTTCGCATCATAATGAGAGAGAAAACAACAGAGGCACACATTTACTGTGCCCTGTGGCTATCTTCCACTTAATTTCTGAATTCTCGGAACGTCGCTCAACGCCCGGTCGTACAGTGTCGTGCCAACGCGGTTTGCGCTGAATATTAGATAAAATAATAATAGACATTGAGGAAAATATAAAATATGTAATTTATTTTTTTTTGGTTTATTATACTAGGTCACGTGCCCAAGTGCCCTTACGGGCAAACCGCCACTGGAAACTCAATCAATTTTTGTCCATCTAGATTTACAAATTAATACTTAATCAATTTAAGTCTCTCTAGATTTGGAAAGTGATAATAATTCCACTAACATTCTCTTTCAAATGACAGTTTTTATCAAATTTACTCTTTGGTACTTATAGAGTCAAAAATTAAAAATTGTTGTCCATTTATTGGCAAAGTGTTACTTAAATAATTTTTGTCCATCTAGATTTGAAGAGTGCAGGGAAGAAAGGGGGAAGGTCATTTTTTGATGTTTTTGAGAAATATCAATTTTTAATATTTGAAACCCTATTTTAGATAGAATAATGACTTGTCACTTTTATAATTTAAATAATTCAAATAACTACCTGGTAACATTTTCGTAAAAAATAAAATAAAAAATTACTTATAAGAGTGCGAAAAAAAATTTATTGTCACAGAGTTACACAGTAAGTATGTAAAATAATTTTAGGTTTTCTTAGGATTTTGGTTCTTCTTGGTAAAGGCCTTTTTCTTAACTGGGATGACGGTGTGCGGTAAGTTCCCTTCTCAGTGCTGCATAGTTTCTTAAGATCCATTAAATCGCGATATTTCTCTGCAGATATTGGCTTCAAATCTAAAAAAAGAATTAAATAGGATGTACTAAGGTTCTCTTTATGATGTTTTTCTTACCAAAATAAAGTTTATGTGGCAGGACAAACTGGCCATCTGGAAGCTTGGGTGTGATTGTATTTTTCGATGCAACAATGCGTTTGCGGATTATTGAGGTGTTCCAGCATCCATTGTATGTGTTTCTGAACTCAATTAATCTAGGATGTTCTTGGGAAATTTTTACATCTCTAATCTCCCTTGATTTGTATGAAGGTTTGGTCTTATAAATTGAATCCAATAATTCCGTCCAATTTCGAAGAAGTGCTTGGTCAACTTCAATTACAGTAAAAGGTTCTGGTTTTACTCTGCATGATTTTATTTCAATAAACCAATCTTCAGGAAGTTCAGCAGGAATTTTTTGATTAATTAACGCCATGTCCCAGTCGCACTCCATGTAAGAGTGACCCCGCACCGGAAAGATCACTTGTATAGTGTCTAATCTTTTAGTAACATGGACAACGTAATGCAAATACCGAAACACTGTAAAGTTCTTATTTTGGCACCCGCACGAGTCACAGAAAATGCGCAAATGTCTACTCAGTTGAACAAAAATAAAATAATGGAGTAAAGACGCGACGTCGTTGGATCCTTTTCCTCCAATTATTTCTGGATAACAATAAAAGGTAGCACTGTTTGTTGATAGCACGTGAATGTTAAAAGAATGTAGGGTAAGTTGCCTTTTATAATAGATTTCATTGGTAGATAGATTTGGCATGGGTAGGTTTTTTTGAAAGTCCATCGCAATACATTCAAAATCAACTTGCTTCATGGCTTGTTTAATGGCCAATTTTTTTCGCTGGTAAAATACCTCAGCCTTCCTTTTATGTATGTTATTCTCCAATGTTTTTTTGCTTCAATGCTTCTTTTCATTTGGTCAGTTACATCTGTACCACGTAGCTTGCTTTGAAGAACCTTAAGTTCAACTAAAAACTGGTCACATGAACTGCAGGTATCACTTCGTGGGTAACCAAAGCTTATATTAAAATTCGTATTAAATATATGTCGATAGGTTTCGTATGATACACGAGGATTATTTGCTTTAAGATACATATTATACATTTTCTTAATATTTAGGTCTTCAGGTAGGTACAACTTTCTTGTCTTAGATCTGCTATAATGACTGTTTCGCCCCCTAAAACTGAAAATATGTGATTTAATTTGACTCAATACGTGTTCTGGTAACTTATGCTTTTTTATGTTAGAGCCACGCTTGTCCTTAGATACCTTGCCAACATTTTTTAAAGATTTCTGAATAGTTTCAATCCGTTTCTTTCCAATACCGTGCAAGCTTAAAAACCCTTTAAAGCATACTGGCACTTCTATTATTTTCTCATCATCTTGTATTCTTACCCTAAACGCATAAGAAGCATCATGTAATTTAGCAGAAATTTCATTTTTAGGCCTTCTTTGTTTTATCGGAAGTACCGAAATTAGCCCGCCCAAGTACATGTTTTGATCATTACGATTTAAAGAGTTAAAATGATTAATTATAAATGACCGGTTTTGTTCGTTAACAACACTGAAACACTTTAGTCTTTTGCAGTGACAATCTTCACCTACCTCGTGGCTTTGTTTTCGAAGTTTTTTTCATCACATTACTGACTCGACCTGTAACTTTTCTCTTCCTGGTTTTCGCACAAGGAATGATGCATTCATTATCACTCACTATATATCATGGCTTCAGTATTGCTAGCCATTTTTAACTTGAAACTTCAGTTAGAAACACGATATTGTAAAAACAAACACAATTTAAGCAGTAAAAATGCCAGCAGTACGCACGTCACCCTCGCCTAATTTCGAATAAACTAAAACAGTGAAAATATGTCAAAAAAACAAGTACATTCCCGTCGCGACTAGATTAGAAATGTTTGACCTTTCCCTTTTCTTCGCTGTACGCACGGACATTCCCCGTTTCTTCACTGTATGGTATATGAAGACCCACGACTTTAATATTTATAGACCTCGATTCTTCCCTGTTTAGACCTACATACTAATTCTATTGGTATTTAGCTACTAATTTCCACCATAAACTCGTTTTGCCTAAAAATTGACCTTCCCCCTTTCTTCCCTGCACATTTTATTTTAACAAATTTTGGTTCATCTAGATTTACAAAGTGGTAAATAATTTTCATTAATCTAGATTTGCAAAGTGATAATTAAACAATTTATGTTCATCTAAATTTAAACACATTGTTGTCTACATTGATTCGCAAACTAACAAGTATTAGAAATTAAAAATTTAAAAAAACCGACTTTAAAAACGTGCAGATGCCATCACCACATCTTAACTAAATTTATATGGGACCACCCCTAAGGTATCCCCTTACTAACAAAAAAATAATTATATAAGTCGGACAAGGTGGTAAAGAATTATCTCTAAACATACATAAAAAATTAAAAGTTTGAGGATTTTCTCATGGACCCATTTATTAGATTTTGACCACCTCTGAAGTACACTCTTTCTAACAAAAAAATAATTATTGAAATCAGACACCGTGTTAAAGAATTATCGCTGAACATACATAAAAAAAATATTGCAACGATTTAAGAACCTCCTCCTTTTTCGAAGTCGGTTAATAAATAATTTTCGTCCATCTAGATTAAATATGTAATTCATTTTTAATTAATTTAATAAAAATAAACATCGAGATTAGAAAATTATAAGATAAGAGGCTAAAGTTTCTTGCTGACAAATCCTCGTACCATTACCATCATCCACATTTTACGGACGAAAATACTTATTCAACAATTATTCGTTCCAAAATAACACTAACTAAATACCGTTCCACCTCTACCATTTCCAACCAACATGCCATATTCCCATATTACTCTCGAACGCCGTTTTTGGCATTCTATTCTATTTCTCCGTCCCTCCAGTCGGTCCCTGAATCCCTCTCGCCCATTTCTCCACCTCCCAAAAAAGTTATTATTTGTGCACCTGGTGTCAATCGGAGCGCCAGACCAACGTAATCAAAGCCTTCCTCTTCCTTCTTTTTAAAAAAGAACTTCCTCTTCGATCGTATTTGCATTTTCGACTTTCCCCCTTTTAATTAAAAAACAGCAGAGAACAAAACAGTAAAGCAAAAAGAAAAATACTAACTTGGAGGGAATAATGGTAATAAAAGTAATGACCTCTTTAATTATTATTGTATTTTTATTCTTTTTTCTTCGAAAAGGAATTGGGTCTCTGATTTTTTTATAGGTACTCTTAGTTAAAAGGCACAATATCATACAATACACAAAGTTGGAAAGAGGTTGAAGAATTAGTGGAGGCAGATCTCACATAATGGGGTCTATTCTGTAACAATTCCTTTATATTTAACGGCCTTTAAAAATATTGGCGGCCTTTAAAAGTATATTTGTATTCGTTAATTTACTTCTGTTATTATTTAAACAGATTTCTTTAAGATAGTACTCTAATGTATTTTAAAGACCCGCTTAAATAATGACAGGAGTAAAGAAGAAAATATTTTTAAAGGCCGTTAAATATAAAGGAATTGTTACAGAATAGACCCCACAGTAAGTTATAAAAACTGTTTATTCCCTTTAGAGCTAAAAAATTAAATAATTAGGCGTATTTATTGACCAGCAAATCAACAATATCGCCTTTATTAAAATAAAATATATATCCAAATTTAAATGGACGAAAACTATTTATCGGTTTGAAAATCTAGATGGACAAAAATTGTTTAAGTATCAATAATTTGCAAATTTAAATGGATATTAAATTAATTTAAGTGGATTTATCATTTTACAAAATCTAGATGAACAAAAATTGTTTAACACGTTGCGTGCCATGTCTTTCGGGTTTAGGACATCTGGACGTCGCCGTTTCGGCGTGGCCATTTGGACGTTAGGCCATTTCGCCGTTGGCCATTACGGTATCGGTCGTTTCGGCGTCGGGAATACCTACTATTTTTTAGTACGTATGTTAAAACCGCTATAAGTTTTATTATGAAATAAGTAAAGTATTGAAATAAGTGAGGTATTGCATAGGAACTTTGTTGATGAAATGCTAGACGACCAGGTTTATTCCACCCAACGATATGGAACCTTTACCAAAGGACTTTGGATCTGACAGACCAGACCAATAACCATGCAGAGGCATGAAGACTACAGTTCGAATTGGGAGCAGATCATCCAACCATTTGGAAATGGCTTGCGTCAGGCGCAGAAAGGTCGAGATTTATATTTCGAGCAACTTGTGGCGGGCAATGGCAATCTCCCACCATTAAAGTTAAAAAACACAGGGATGCAGATGAACGAATTTTACGGCTTGTTTGAATTTTTTAAGTAAACGGGGATATTTTAGAATATCTAAGAGGACTTGCTCATAACTTCAACATGTAATTCCGTGAATAAGTTTAATAAATTAAATATATATACTTTAGTAACAGACATTTTATTTGTCTTCCTTACGACACGAAAACAGTTTGCCAAAACTTCCAACGCCGAAATGGCCAACGTCGAAATGGCCCGCGCCGAAATGGCCGACGTCCAAACGGCTACGCCAAAACGGCCACGCCGAATTGGCCACGCCGAATTGACCACGCACAAAAGTCCCATTCCCATGTCTTTCATATATGAAAGACAGTGGCATTTCTGCAGAGTGTAGTGCTTGAAAACAGTATGATGTTGGTAATAATAACTACACTTAATGCTAACTCAAATAATAAAAAAAAAACAGCGATATTGGCTCTTGTACAAAGTTTTGAACCGAACTTACAAATGATAAAATTATTGGAAAAAGTGAACACCCATTTTAAATTACGACGAGCCGCCACTGTTTAGCAATTTATACAAAAACAATAACTTATGGTAAATTCTTTGTTTTTCTAATTTGACTAACTTTTTTATTTCTTAAGAGGTTCATTCAGGCGAACGACCGAATTTTTTTTTAGTGCAGATAGGCAATGAATTTATTTTGAAGAGTCTCAAGAAGTTCCTTTAAGTTTAATATCCCAGAATCCCATATAATTGTTGCAAATTCCAGCTTACATCGTAATGAAGAAGAATAAAGTACTTTAATTTTTTCTATATTTCTGAAGTCATATGTAGTTCTTTTGAAAATCCAAGCATTTTTTTTGTGATATACGATTTGCTAAATATGTTTATTAAAATTTAATGTACTTTGAAATTATTTATAATATATCTATATTTACCTATATTCTTACTTTTGTATAGCTTACAATAAATCATTTACTTAAATTAAGGTCCAGTTTGTTTTTTATTGTCCAATTATCTTAGATAAAAGAGACCGGAGATGTAACATTGTACATTGCGCATGTTGTCTATTCCAAACCTAAGTAACCCACCAATTAAAAATCATTGTGTTCACGACGCCACCCGAATTGCTCCGAAATTTCTATTCTTTGCTTGTCTCCGCGTGAGTAAATCATTTATGGACCGCCGTTTTTGAATTATTTGTTGGTTTATTAGCAATTTAAAGTGTTTTAGTTATTCAATTTCAAGTTGAAAATGCCACGATGTATGGTGAAAAATTGTATATACAAATAATATGTGTCAATGTTATGAAAAATAAGAAATATATTCGTTTTCAGCGGTAAATATTTGTTGACGTTTTGACATAAAGTCGCCATGGTTCTTTGAGCTGAATACTTCAGATCCGCATTAAGGGGTTTCAATAAATATTTAATCTAAACAAGAAGTAAATAGGCATTGTTACTAACGAAATTTTGTTTTTAAAAAGTAGTTTTATAAGAATATTTACTAAAAGTGGTTTTTAGCCCTTTATTAAATATTTTTACAAGAATATTAGATGAAATACAGGTTCACCTACTTAAAATTTCAAGGTTTATTTTATTTGCGGTTAAATCGGAAGTGACATTTGAATCTTAAATCTTAAAACAAAGTAAAACGCACAATATGATAAGCAAAAAATACTAAAGTAACGGAAATTAGTCATATTATTAGTAAAATGTTACATTATAAACCCCTAAACAACTCGAAAAATATCTTCGTTTACTAAAAAAATCTAAATTCTAGCAAAATGCGGTTTCAAGGATAACAGGATTAATAAATCCGAATCTCTAAATTTTGGAGCTAAATGCTCTGATAAAAGCATGCGACCGATAGGGGTTACAAAAATAATCGATTTATCGTTTTCATGAAAATCGATTTATCCTTTATAATTAATCGATTATCTTTAATAGATTATTTCTGATTAATCGAACATTTTTAATAAATTTTTTTCGTTGTTTTAGGTAATGGAATAATCGATTATAAAGGAATTACAAAAAGAGAGTAGATTTATTCAAAATATTCGATTTCTTTTTTAGAAAAATCGATTTATTGTTTAATAGACTTTTTAAATTAATCGATTATTTTCGAATAATCGATTATTTTCGATTAATCGATTATTTTAGATTAATCGATTATTTTCGATTTTTCAAAGGTATTCGAATAATTTGTTTTAAAATACAAAAAAA